AAAAAAAAAAAAAAAAAAGAAGAGGCCTCCTCTTCCCAAAGGCTGGTGAATACCTATGACTAAGCACTTGGGGCACAAGTCTCTCCTCAGTCCCTTTCACACACAGAGAGAATGAAGCCCAGAGAGGCAAGGGGAGACCTGCCCGGGGCCCCTCAGCAAGGAAGTGGCAGAGCTGGGATTCAAATCTGGCTCCTAACTGCAAAGCGCCTGCTCTCACCCATTACCCTCTGCCCGCTGCCCCGTCCTTCAGGGTCTGAGCTAGGATGCTCCCCCACCCACCCGAACCGCCCTGAGCCGCAGCACTGATGCCCGCTCACCCTGGGGCGGTGTCCGGGCCTTCACGGGGGCCTTGGCGGCCTTCACGATCTCCTTCAGCATCTTCCGCTCCTCCTCTCCCACCAGAGAGACTGAGCGCCCGGCCCGGCCGGCACGAGCTGTTCGCCCCACCCGGTGGACATAATGCTTGATGGTGTTGGGCATCGTGAAGTTGATGACCTGGAAGGCCAAAGTTAAGCATCAGTCAGACCTGGGAGTCGGCGGGGAGAGGGGGACGTGAGGAGGCAAAAGGACTCCCAGCAAAAAGTCAAGGAAGATGGGGCCCGCTCACCGTTTTGACCCCCTCGATGTCAAGTCCACGGGCTGCTACATCTGTGGCCACAAGGATGTCAATCTGTTCATCCTTAAAGCGCCTGGAAACAGCCACAAACAAGTTCCTCTGAATACCTGACCCCAGTCAATGCTCTGCAGAAGCCTGAGCCAGCGAGGAGAACACAAACCCTGCTGGAGTCAAGCAGCGGAGTACAGACCATCACAGCGGAGACAGATGCTAAGTGTCAGCCTAACGACACTCACATGCCCCCCACACACCCCACAACACAGAGCAAACGTAGCTTTGTGTATACCACTTTAAACAGCAATTCCTATAGAGAAGCTTGGGAACCACAGAGCTAGACTATACCACGGAGCAGAGGCAAGTGCCTCAGCATTCAAAACAGCCTTTAAGAAACAAGTCTCAGCTGCCTGTGTGAATAAGGATCAGTGGGGAGTCCTAAAGGGTTCCTCCTTGCCTACCAAGCTGACTCGATTCTGCGAGAGTTAAACAAGAAATCACGTGGAAAAGCACAGGGCCTGGCAAGGTAAGTGCTCAAGAAATACGAATGGATTTGCTTCAGGATCTCATTCTAGCAGACCTGGGTATGTCACCTGCTCTGGAAAGGCTGCAGAGATCAGAATGTGTGCTGCATCATCCCAAGTCAATTTCCTGCTGTGACCCCGCTCAGCAGCTCCCACGCTCAAATCCTGGGGCAACAGTATCATTTTCTACAAAGTCAAAGTTCTGAATATATCTAAGACATGACCTTAGAATGGTTAGGCTAAAATTTTTGAAGTGGGGAACTGTACTGTATCCCCTGGTATCGCTCAAACATGACCTCTGGATGGTACTTTCCGTCTTTGGAATGAACAGAGCCCTCTCTGAAGGATGGGTGGGAGCCTCAGCCCCCGAAACTTTACCGGAGGGCCTCCAACCGCTGCGTCTGTGACAGGTTGCCGTGGAGCTCGCCCACCTGCAGCCCCATCAGCCCCAGGAGGATGTGCATGCGGTGGGCCTGCTTCTTGGTCTGGGTGAACAGCATCACGTGGTCGGTGAAGGTTCTCATCAACAGAGCTGCCAGGGAGAGAAGAGTGAGTGGGTGGCTGCCTCCAGCACGTCCTCCCTCCTCGCCTGCAAAGCAGCTGCTGTGCCTGGTTTGGGGGTGGCAGGTGAGGCCCCTGCCTTGCGGAGCTCCCACTCCAGGGCAGAGACGGAGAGGCCAAGTCCCAATTCTCAAGGGCGGTAAATGCCATGAGAGAATGAAGAGAAGATGCGGCAGCTTCAGGGCTGGCCTCTCAGAGGAGGTGACATTAGGCTGAATGACAAGACAGTCTCATCCACGAGAAGACTTGGGGGAAGATTCCAGGCAGAGGAAAGAGCAAAAGCTTGGGGGGTTTGAGAAAGCGAAAGCAGGCGGGTGTGGCTGGAGCGCCATGAGCTAAGGCGCCAAGGCCGGGGGCTCCAGGCAGGCAGGGGGCTCCGGGCAGGCCGGGGCAGGTCCAGGGGTCTTACAGGACTCGCTAGGGAGCATGGATTTCAGTCTAAGAGCAATGGAAGACACCAGAGGGTTTAAACAGCGAAGGAACAGGAGCGAATGCTTGTTTGTAAATGATCCTTTTAAATGGTCTGCAGTGGGGAGAAGGCACTTCCACAGGACAGGGTGGAAGCAGACGGCCAGGTCAGAGGCCGCTGCAACAATCCAGGTGACACAGTAGTGGCCTGGACGAAGGGCCAGAGGGGCAGCTGGAGGGAAGTGGCTAGGAGTTCAGCA